AAAAAGATTCGCTTCAAAACAGGTTTTTTGAATCTACTTCAACTATCTCTCTTAGCACCTTTACAATAACAAAACGCCAGGTCTTTTTTTCTGGCTGCTTCAGCAGTTACAGTAATTTTACCTTTCCAGACTTAAACATAACTAAGATTAAGGCCACATCTAGAAACTTACACTTGTGTTTTCTGTGCAGTACCTATTCTTTGGAAGGATACTGGAAAAATTTAATTTACACTGATTTTTCACAACCGTATTTTCTCTCCGTTCCAAGTTCCCTCCCCTCTTAGTAACTGCAGCATGAAGCTACACAAAAACAAAGAGTGAATCTCAGTTCTGATACTAGTATTTCATTTTCTGAAAAATACATTGTAATGTGCTAACCACATGGAGGTCAGTACACTGTGATATATCAATACAGAAACATCACAATGTATTTCTCAAAAGAGCAACACGCACATCTGAGCTCTCCTCTCCTCTCCTGTACATGGTAAATTCTTTGCTTTCAGTTATCTCAGCATTGCCAATAACCATGCAATTGCAAAGCATTTCAAATTTGTAAGTTTCTGTTTCTTCTACTCATGTGATCAATAAATTAGCATAAATTTTAAAGTGAAAATTCCATTCACATGATCGTATAACTTGATAAGTGAACTCGAAAGGCTACAAAATAAATGTCAAACAAAGCAGATGCTAGTTTAAGAAAAGGCTCATCACTTTAAGCTAATTATGAGTTTTAACACTTCAGACTGGTAACTGTAATCCAGAGTGTGATCTTTAGTTCTACCTTTAAAGTTAATAGGAAATGAAAGAGCATTCTTACTGAGGCCAAAATTTTACCTGCAATTTTGTAGTCTCCATATGTTTTGATGGGCTTTTTATATAAAACATTAGTTCTAGGATGTCTGCGAGTTAAGGGGGCAGTGGTGTTTGGCCATTCGATTTTGAACAGAGTGCTAGAAAGAAAATGAATATACCGAGACAAAAACATGAAACTTCCCCACCGCTGACAAAGATGTTTAAGCCTGCCCTTCTATCTAGAAAGGAAAAAATAAAGATTAAGGAGCCAGTGGAATGTCAAAATCCCAACACGTTCCGATTTTTCTAACAGAGGTTAAAAATATTGTATGGTAGTCCCATATTGTGCATATTATAGGCTCTATATGATGTCATACCTGTATAGTCCTAGAAGTAAGGGAGAGCACTGAAATAATTCTATTGGCGTTCCACCGGTAGTAATGAATCAGGCAGCCATGCTGTCAAATATACTTTTTCTTCATATTGAAATCTTTCAAGTCTTTCATGACTTGCTTTTATTGTTATAAGTTCGTAGCAGATAACTGGTATCAAACATAATTATCCAAATGAATAGAACATAAATGCCCTGTGCTATTTTTGAATTCTATTTCAAAATGCCTGCATAAAA